GATTAGTTTGGTTTGAACAACGGATAAACATCATGGCACACTGCTAGTAACCCATAAGTGCTCCATTCTTCTTCTAACCCAAGTCTAAGTCCGAAGAAGCTCAGCACAGTGCACAGGCTCTGTAGCACCATCGAAGATCCTGAAATACTTTGGGTAGACTTTTTACTCAAAATTTTGCCAGGGCAGTGCCGTTAGGCTACTATTTTCGTTATCCAACTGCTAATGGATTTTTACGGGCGCAACAATGGACACTGGCGTCCGATCTCACTACCCAGAGACCAGGGGAAGTTACTAGAAGTCAAAGTCCACGTAAAAAATGTCACAGCCCTTACCGGGGACTGAACCCCGAAACTCTTAACAGTTGTGGCGGACACCATGTCTCGAGACCACGCAGACATGATTTTTAACGGGCTGCATGCCAGATTTAATCAACTGACACCAAACTATTACTGAGTTACAGATGTTTGAAGTTCGGCAGGACTTTTGGGGAGGACTATAACTACAGAACATGCACAGTAATCGATGTACCACAGAGTATTCGACACTGGAAAGTTAACAGTACCACCGGGAATCGCCCACAGTAATCCCGGGATTTCATGGATCTTCAAGGATCCGCAAAGACCACACAGGAACGATTTCACAGGAAACCACAACAACAATTGCGGCAGGGAAACGGGTTAACAGCACGCCAGGGCAGTCAGATGTTGACAATAGTTAGTTTGACGCTGTCTGGGAGGGCAGGAGGCTTGGTTGGTTGGAGCAGTCAGCCTCCCGTCATCTTGACGAGGTGGCAAACTATCCATTTGTAGAATCCTGGGAGCTTTAGCGGGGGGCTTCTCTTGGGCTGGTTTCGCCTGTCGAACTGGCCTGTGAGCTAAGTACCAGGTGATGATTGAGGTGGCGACAGGGAATGGGTCGTTGCTGATTACAGGGGTTGGGGGCTGGGCAAACGGGACGGGTGAGGGGGGGGGGGGTGTGCTTTGGCAGCTTCTTCTTTTGAATTCGTCCTTAAACAAAGGGTTAGTACGTTGTGTTCCAGTTTGCTATAGCGCGTTCCAGAAGTATTGTTGAAATTTAGAAATCTGTAACCGAGTAATCGTTCGGTGTAAGTTGTTGAAATTTAGCATGCAGCAAAAATGTAAACATATATTTTGCTTTCATTTTGTCTTATTTGTAGCATATTAACAAACAACACTTATTCAAAGCTAACAATCAGCGCTTGCTTACAGCCGGTTATCTCCAGTGTAAGACTCCCGTTAGTTGTGGCTTTTTTATTCAGTGAGGAATAGGCTATTAAAATAATCACAACGCATAGATGCACATGTGTACTGATTTTCAAATAACACCCACACATGTGTCAGTTACTGTGTAATCTATTAGAACTAATCACGGAAGTCACCCCATCTCATTGGCGCCCGAGATTTCATGCCGGCTCCAATTCATGTCGTTCTAGTTCCCACGTGCTGTTCAATGTTGTGGGGGCGTCACGACGTGGCTTGGTACGTCGTGTGTACACGCTGTGTTGAAAAGTGGCTGCTGTTTGGTTTCTTTTAGGCACTTTGTGAACGGTTGGTCTCAGGCGCCGAATGCGCCTGCGTAAGAGAAAGAGGTACTGCAGGAGAAACGCCGAAGGCGAGATGTTTTGTGAGTATCCAATCACTGATGTGTTTGTATTAATACGCTCGTTTACGGTTGCTGCCACCGCCGGTGGATCTGCTTGAAACGGTCAAAATGAAGAACACATGACATCCTGGACTTTAGGAGTGTCCTGGGAAATCGTCTAGGAAATCTCGCGGCAGACGAGATAAGGTGACTTTCGTATTTTGTATAATTCTGTTTTTCAGGGATACAGAAATTATCAGTAAGGGGGAAAAAAAAAAACCAAAAAAAAAAAAAAATCATCTGTACAATTATAAATTATAGAATCTTTACGACATAGGAAATCTAAGGTACATGCGACAATTCGTGTTAATCCGTAAAATAGTTTTCGAGATATTTGTTAAAATATGACGGCGTGAGTTTCGAAACGCATTATAAGGATTTAAACATGGTGTTGACTTTAGATGTGAGCTGAGAATGGTTAGCTGAGAATGACTGTTTTTATTGCTGCCTCATCCACCCCATCTTCTTCTTTTTGTTCCTCCTCCTTCTGCTGCTGATACTGTTGCTACTACTACTGCTACTACTACTACTACCACTACCACAACCACTACTACTACTACTACTACTACCACCACCACCACCACCACCACCACCACCACCACCACCACCACCACCACCACCACCAACACAACCACCATAACTACGTAACAATCAGCGTGTCATATCTAGTCAAACAATATACTGGAAAGCCAGATGAAAGGATGACGTGGGCCGCACATGATCCGCAGGACGAACGTACAGTCCTAGAGCTGGCCTAATGTAGGACTGGGAACATGCTGCATCAGCAACACCTGGTATTTGCAGCACTGCCCAGGCTGTGTACTACGGAGAGAAGGACCTTCTTCCCTGGTCTAAATTGGCATCGCCATTGGGTGTAATTCTCATAGATTTTTTTTTAAAGCGCATTATAACGCAAACATTTTGAAAGATGGAAAGATGCCCACAGTATAGAAGAGATTTCAGACGTATCTAGCAATTGTCTGAGGTAGAAACAACTGTTAGGAAGAAAACTGATAACCTCATCTGACGCAGTGGTAATCGAACATTCCACACCCTTGCACGTGTCGGGTAAAAACTTCCCTGCCTTTCTGACTAGAACAAAGGCGCGGCCGAGCCGACGTCTCCCTGCCAACGCTCAACATCTCAGTCTGCTGCTGCTGCTGCTGCTGCTGCTGCTGCTGCTACTGCTTCTTCCTCTTCCTCTTCCTCTTCTTCCTCTTCCTCTTCCTCTTCCTCCTCTTCCTCTTCCTCTTCCTCTTCCTCTTCTTCCTCTTCCTCTTCCTCTTCCTCTTCCTCTTCTTCTTCTTCTTCTTCCTCTTCTTCTTCTTCTTCTTCTTCTTCTTCTTCTTCTTCTTCTTCTTCTTCTTCTTCTTCTTCTTCTTCTTCTTCTTCTTCTTCTTCTTCTTCTTCTTCTTCTTCTTCTTCTTCTTCTTCTTCTTCTTCTTCTTCTTCTTCTTCTTCTTCTTCTTCTTCTTCTTCTTCTTCTTCTTCTTCTTCTTCTTCTTTTTCTTCTTCTTCTTCTTCTTCTCTTCTTCTTCTTCTTCTTCTTCTTCTTCTTCTTCTTCTTCTTCTTCTTCTTCTTCTTCTTCTTCTTCTTCTTCTTCTTCTTCTGCCGCTGCTTTTTTCTTTGTCTTAGTGTTCATCGGCTTTAGACTCCGGTGGAAAGTTAGGTTGTTCGTCCACTCCTGAATACTGGTAATATTACAGCTGAGTTGTGCGTGCACATCAATTTTACTGATCTAGCTTTTTCGTATGCAGACTGTTGGTTTCTTGCCGCTCTTTCAGCTGCACTCCGAATTTGAAATAAATACCTCTAATTTGTCTTTTCGAGGAAAGAAAAAAAAGGGTGTGGGAGGCAATAGATCTATTTTTAGTTCTCAAAAATGGAGACCCGGAACGCAGACGAGGATATCACCTCAGCGACCCTATTTCACACGTACTCGCAAAACATATGTTAGAAACAAGCAGAAACGGAAGTTGAACTGCATAAACAGAAAACCTAAAAGATCATCACCATACTTGTCTATGTTTCAAGTTGTCTTCCTAAACTTTCTCTCTGTCCACATCTTAAAGTGTCCCGTCTCCTGGTCTCTCCTTTTTTCCACGCTCACAAAAAAAGTTATCTGCCTTGTCACTTCCAGGGGCCATAACTTTCCATATCTGAGCAATAACAAGCGTTCAAAAGCCGTTTGCAGCTCGGGCGAGAGCTTGTACCGTGTGCCCCACAGGGCGCCTTTAATCCCCTCATTAAAATTTACACATTCTCCAGAAAAACGAAATTTTTGACGTGTCTGCAGCGCCCATAAAACCTGGTTGCTCATACTTCACAGCCAGTCGCCATTTTAAAACTAGCCACACACGAAGAATCGGTTCTTAAGCCCAACAGTAAAAAAAAAAAAAAAAGAAACAACGAAAGGGGGAAACTAGAGAGGTTCGTTCAAGGCCATTATCAGCCATCTCTTTGTATCGGGGCTAGTAGTTTCAGGCAGACGATGTACGGACGATTTGTCTTAAGAGCAACTCTCAACCTCATGTCAACTCCCATTACCTCCCTTGTGCTCTGAACGCTGGTCCGACTTTCAAAAAAGAAAAGAAAAAGAAAAGATAATAACTGGCACGTGTGAAATCTGTCACTCGTCGTTAATGTACCTTCAACGGAAAGAAAGGTACTCACCGTCACGGACAATATCCCGACACGACGCCGTCCGCTCAACTACACGACCCGCACATCGTTAAAATGTCCTCACAAGGGTCGTCGCGGTAAAGCAGTGGATATAACGCCTAAATGCGGGACCTATGGCCATGGTTCGAGTCCCCACGGATAAGAGTGAAGAGAAAAGATTGCGTGGTGTGAAAAAAAAGATCAAGTGTAGAGATAGAAGACTGAATGGATAAAAAACAGACTGAGTGGCGAGATTTAAGTTTGAGTAGTGTTATAAAGGACTTGAGTAGTGTGATAAAGGACTTGAGTAGTGTGATAAAGGACTTGAGTAGTGTGATAAAGGACTTGAGTAGTGTTGAAAAGGACTTGAGTAGTGTGATAAAGGAATTGAGTAGTGTGATAAAGGACTTGAGTAGTGTGATAAAGGACTTGAGTAGTGTGATAAAGGACTTGAGTAGTGTTAAAAAGGACTTGAGTAGTGTGATAAATGACTTGAGTAGTGTTAAAAAGGACTTGAGTAGTGATAAAGGAATTGAGTAGTGTGATAAAGGACTTGAGTAGTGTTATAAAGGACTTGAGTAGTGTGATAAAGGACTTGAGTAGTGTGATAAATGACTTGAGTAGTGTGATAAAGGACTTGAGTAGTGTTATAAAGGACTTGAGTAGTGTGATAAAGGAATTGAGTAGTGTGATAAAGGACTTGAGTAGTGTGATAAGGGACTTGAGTAGTGTGATAAAGGACTTGAGTAGTGTGATAAAGGACTTGAGTAGTGTGATAAAGGACTTGAGTAGTGTGATAAAGGACTTGAGTAGTGTGATAAAGGAATTGAGTAGTGTGATAAAGGACTTGAGTAGTGTGATAAAGGAATTGAGTAGTGTGATAAAGGAATTGAGTAGTGTGATAAAGGACTTGAGTAGTGTGATAAAGGAATTGAGTAGTGTGATAAAGGACTTGAGTAGTGTGATAAAGGAATTGAGTAGTGTGATAAAGGAATTGAGTAGTGTGATAGAGGAATTGAGTAGTGTGATAAAGGACTTGAGTAGTGTGATAAAGGAATTGAGTAGTGTGATAAAGGACTTGAGTAGTGTGATAAAGGACTTGAGTAGTGTTATAAAGGACTTGAGTAGTGTGATAAAGGACTTGAGTAGTGTGATAAAGGACTTGAGTAGTGTGATAAAGGACTTGAGTAGTGTGATAAGGGACTCGAGTAGTGTGATAAGGGCCTCGAGTAGTGTGTTAAAAGACTTCAGTAGTGTGATAAAGGACTCGAGTAGTGTGATAAAGGACCGAGTAGTGTGATAAAGGACTCGAGTAGTGTGATAAAGGACTTGAGTAGTGTGATAAAAGACTTCAGTAGTGTGATAAAAGACTTCAGTAGTGTGATAAAAGACTTCAGTAGTGTGATAAAAGACTTCAGTAGTGTGATAAAAAACTTCAGTAGTGTCATAAAGGACTTGAGTAGTGTGATAAAGGACTTGAGCAGTGTGATAAAAGACTTCAGTAGTGTGACAAAAGACTTCAGTAGTGTGATAAAGGACTTGAGTAGTGTGATAAAGCACTGGGTGAAGAGTCAGTAAAAAAAAAAAAGATACGACATGTTGAGATACGAGATGGAGTTGAGTGAAAAAAGATTGGATGGATAGAGAAAACATTAAATGGAGGGATATAAAACTGAGTGGAGAGATAGCAGACTGAGAGAAGATATGGAAGATTGACTGGAGACACAATCCTGAGATGTACATCTGTACAATTTAAATGCAGTCACACAAGACTGAGTAACGAGACACAAGAATGCGTTTGGTCGACTCAAGATAGAGCGATGCGAACACGTGACGGAGTCGATCATGTAGATGATTGATTGAAGCGAACTGTTAATTGAGTACGGTCGACTGGACTGTGTAGTCGCTTTGTAGCTACATTAAACAGACATCTCCTGGAAAAAGAGAACTTCGGAGAAAATAAACTGTAGGGGGTAACAATGGCAGCCACCTCTGAGCACCGGGCACGCCAGGCAGGGTGAGTACCACCCACGTGCATCAGCGACGGTTCCTGGGTAACGTGAGTACCCCTACCTCACGCGCGAGGCATCCTGTTCAACTCATCAGGGCAATCATCAATGACATAACCCTTTGGGCAGGAAAGGTGGAGAAGGGAGTGACTGGGGGGGGGGGGGGTGGGACTCCAGGTGTGGTATATCGAGGCTGCCATTTCACAGTTCGTCTCGTTCGAGTACTGTCTCCGATACCTAAACTTGGGGAACTCGTTTTGTTGTTGTTGTTTAAAGAATGCTCTGTCTGTCTGTCTGTCTGTCTGTCTGTCTGTCTGTCTGTCTGTCTGTCTGTCTGTCTGTCTGTCTGTCTGTCTGTCTGTCTGTCTGTCTGTCTGTCTGTCTGTCTGTCTGTCTGTCTGTCTGTCTGTCTGTCTGTCTGTCTGTCTGTCTGTCTGTCTGTCTGTCTGTCTGTCTGTCTGTCTGTCTGTCTGTCTGTCTGTCTGTCTGTCTGTCTGTCTGTCTGTCTGTCTGTCTGTCTGTCTGTCTGTCTGTCTGTCTGTCTGTCTGTCTGTCTGTCTGTCTGTCTGTCTGTCTGTCTGTCTGTCTGTCTGTCTGTCTGTCTGTCTGTCTGTCTGTCTGTCTGTTGGTCGGTGGCTTGTTGGTGTGCCGCTCAGACAAAGATTGTTTAATCTGTGGATAGTATAGAAAACTTGTGGGTAGCAGTTCGGATAGGACAACCCAGTCCATGGATCGATCAAAAAGATGATTATGATACCAGAAGGAATCGTAAATCGTCTGAGAGACAGAGTGCGGAAGTGCTCCTGAGAACCGATCCCATACCACCCCCCTCCCCACCCCCTTTCAGCGAGAATCGTCTGATGTCCCGTACTATGAGAGAATGGGCTGATGTCCCGAACCATGAGAGACTGGGCTGATGTCCCGTACCATGTGAGAATGGGCTGATGTCCCGAACCATGAGAGACTGGGCTGATGTCCCGTACCATGTGAGAATGGGCTGATGTCCCGTACCATGAGAGAATGGTCTGATGTCCCGTACCATGTGAGAATGGGCTGATGTCCCGTACCATGTGAGAATGGGCTGATGTCCCGTACCATGTGAGAATGGGCTGATGTCCCGAACCATGAGAGACTGGGCTGATGTCCCGTACCATGAGAGAATGGTCTGATGTCCCGTACCATGTGAGAATGGGCTGATGTCCCGTACCATGTGAGAATGGGCTGATGTCCCGTACCATGTGAGAATGGGCTGATGTCCCGTACCATGTGAGAATGGGCTGATGTCCCGAACCATGAGAGACTGGGCTGATGTCCCGTACCACGAGAGAATGGTCTGATGTCCCGTACCATGAGAGAATGGTCTGATGTCCCGTACCATAGGAGAATGGGCTGATGTCCCGTACCATGAGTGAATGGTCTCATTCCCGTACCATGAGAGAATGGTCTGATGTCCCGTACCATAAGAAAATGGGCTGATGTCCCGTACCATGTGAGAATGGTCTCATTTCCGTACCATGAGAGAATGGTCTGATGCCCCGTACCACGAGTGAATGGTCTCATTCCCGTACCATGAGTGAATGGTCTCATTTCCGTACCATGAGAGAATGGTCTGATGTCCCGTACCATGAGTGAATGGTCTCATTTCCGTACCATGAGAGAATGGTCTGATGCCCCGTACCATGAGTGAATAGTCTGATGTCCCGTACCATGAGTGAATGGTCTAATGTTTCGTACCATGAGTGAATGGTCTCATTCCCGTACCATGAGAGAATGGTCTCATTCCCGTACCATGAGTGAATGGTCTCATTCCCGTACCATGAGATAATGGTCTAATGTTTCGTACCATGAGAGAATGGTCTCATTCCCGTACCATGAGAGAATGGTCTTATTCCCGTACCATGAGAGAATGGTCTCATTCCCGTACCATGAGAGAATGGTCTAATGTTTCGTACCATGAGAGAATGGTCCTATGTTTCACACCATAAGAGAATGGTCTAATGTTTCGTATCATAAGAGAATGGTCTAATGTTTCGTACCATGAGAGAATGGTCTAATGTTTCGTATCATGAGAGAATGGTCTAATGTTTCGTACCATGAGAGAATGGTCCTATGTTTCACACCATGAGAGAATGGTCCTATGTTTCACACCATGAGAGAATGGTCTGATGTTCCGCACCATAAGAGAATGGTCTAATGTTTCGTACCATGAGAGAATGGTCCTATGTTTCGCACCATGAGAGAATGGTCTGATGTTCAGCTCTATGAGAGGATGGTCCTATGTTCCGTGCCATGAAGAATGGTCCAATGAATAATTGCCTCACTGAGAACCAAAAATACCTCCTACCACTTCCCTCGTCTCAGAGCAGAACCATTCAGCTGTTCCTTGTTTCCTAAAGAGTTGATCTAAAGGTTCGATCCCAGTGAGTCACTCCGTCTCTAGAGAACCCTCTAGTACAGCACCCATCCCCACGGCACCCATCCAGGACCCCGTGAGAGCCACTACGGGTAGCGATTTCTCACGTGCAGGAGACGAGACGCCCCTGACAACCCTCGGTAAATCTCGGTCTGTGTTTGACAACATGGCCGCCCTGGATTATTGTTCTTCAAAACATGGCGTCCGTCAGAACGGGCCATCCGTCATGGGAAACTTTCTCAATGTTTGTGGGCTGGTGCAGTGGTCTTTGTGTGGTGCCTGTGTGCCTCTGCGTGTGTAAGCTGGTGCGTATGTGTAAATTAAGTATTTAAGAATAGGTCGAATTTCAAGGCAATAAATACAATCATTGACTGCGGCTCCGAAAAGACTAAGAAGGAAAAAAAAAAGTTGTTGGAGAACGAAGGAACAAACGAACTAACTTTGTTTTCAACGGGTTAAGAGATTGTTGGCACGCAGTCACGTTTAACATTCTGACCCTCTAATGTTCCTCGCTTCATTATTCATTTCATTCATACACTTGTTAACATATACTAGTAAACATACTAACAGCAGCCAAACCTTAAACACAAGCTATGGAACCTGCTCGAATTACACCTACATATCTAACCACAGTCAACCATAGTAGCTGTAATAGGTTTAGCGGAAATGTACGCTTTTTCTGACATACTTTTTATTTTTGAAGGGGGTCTTGAGGCATGATGTCCCACTCGATTGCTAGTGGTTCAGGGTTTCACGTGGACTTGGACTTCTAGTAATTCCCCCCTGGTCTCTGAGTAGTGAGATCGGACGTCCATGTGTATTGTTGCGCACATGAAAACTCTCTTGGCAGTTGGAAATCGAAAAGAGTAGCGTAACGGCGCTGCCCGGGCAAAATCTGGAGTTTAAAAATCTTACTAAAATATTTCAGGATTCTTGCCGGTGCTACAGAGCCTGTGCATTGTGCTGAGTTCCTTCGGACTCAGACTTGTGTTAGAAGAAGAACGGAGCACTTATGGGTTACTACCAGTGTTGCCACTTTGGATCTTTTATATCCAAATTTAGATCTTTTTCATTGCATTTAAATACTGTTTTTGACGTTTAGATCGTAAATATTTTTCTAGAGGCTTTACATATGGAGTTAGATATTTTATAGATTTTTTTTTCTTTCATTGTCAATTTAATAATTACTGTGTAAAATATTTACTACAATATTTTTGTTTTGATCTGGCACGTACATTGTGACAACTGCCATTACTTGAACTTTGAACTCTCACTGGGGTCAACGCACAAATATCTGGCATCCCCAGTACAGATTAATAAAAACGCGCGTAAATCATACTAACTTTGTTTCAACCGTATCCTCACTGTGCTGAATTTGAGTTTCTTTTTCATGTGATTTAAAAAAAATAATTGCTCACCTCCTTATGTGGCTTTCACTTTGAAAAAACCTTTCAACATGCCAAAACTAAAGCATGAGCAAACAATTTGGAAAGAGTGGTTGCATGATGACAAAATTAAAAACTGGGGATACGACCAAAGCTTGTTGTAAGTACTGCAAGTGTGAAATTAAAGCGAAAATACAAAACTCAAAGAGTCATGCAGATACTAAAAAAGCATAAAACTGTAGTTTCATTTAAAAATATTACACCGCTGACATCTGTTTTCAGAACTATACTGATAAATTAATCATCAAAAGTTGAAGTATCAGTCGTAATGTTTTTAATTTGTCACTGCGCAATTTCAAACTGTGACCATTTGATCGATTTGTAAAAAATCTTGGACTAGTTCAATTTGAAAAGTGTGGTGTAGAAAGTATAGTTTAGGAAATGAAGGACCTTTTAATCAGCAAACAGTAAGGCTTGAAGAATTTGGCTGTAA